GACTCCAAATCATAAAATAAAAGATAAAAAAAATTGAAAGTGGGTGAAATGTTTACATGTAATCGGTTAAAATTTAATAAGAAAAAGGGATGCATAAACATGTTAAACTATGAGAGAAAAAAGGACTTCAAAACCTAAAAGGAATGGAAAGAAATCTTAAATATTAGGAAAATAATTAATTATCTATTCCTAAATATAAGAAAACTAATTAAATATTTATTCTTAAATTAGAAAATATTAAATGACCATTTTGTCTAACGTGAAATTAAATTTTAAAGAATAAATAAGGCGAATATGCTTTTAATATAAAAATAAAGATAGATAGATAGTAGATAAATATAAATAGATATAGATTGGACACTTAACTTCCAAACTTTCTTATCGAGCCTCTGTGGCTTGTGTTCCTAGGAAATGGCACTTCTAAAGTCTATACTGGGAAAGATTCTCCTTGAATGTCAGTCGATAATGCATACTCAAAACTGAGTAAGAATGGTGATTGGTGGGTTATTTTCATCTAAACCATTGGGGTCGATTGGTAGGGTGTATAAGAATAATGTTGAATAAGGTGTATTAGTAATGCATGAATTAGTAATGCATGAGTTAGTAATGCAAGCATTAGCTATGCAGAAATGAATCATTTCTTATTCATTGTTTGGTGTGATGTATTAAAAATTAAAATCTATTGCATAATTTTTAAGAAAATTATTTGTTTACAAAAATGTCTTCCATATTATTTAGCTTCAAGAGACTTAAAGGATAATTTTGCCTTTAACCATGCTAATGCATGCATTAATAGCCTTGGTATTGCTATGCATTAGCTATACATAGGATAATACCAAATAGAATGTATAACTAATGCTTGTATTAGTTATACATAGGTTGAAAAAGTGTACCAAACAAAGTTTTACTAATACACAAAGCTAATGCATGCATTATTTTCTCTAATGCACTCTACCAAACGACCTCTTAGCCTGTTAATAAAACTTATTTTCCATCTGATAATCCATCCTCCC